TCATTTAATAAACCAAACCAAACCAAATCAAACCTCAAAAAAACCTACAGCAGAAATACCCCTTCTGTAGATATTGGACTTGTATAAACTCCATCATCCAATTCTGCTGTAACTGGAGATTACTAGCATGTTACCACGTGGCCTGAGGTTTAGTAGAGGGTGCACAAATATCTTGCTTGAGGTTTGCTCAAAGTGCTGCTATTCTCAGTGGAGGATAAAGGAGCCAATACAGCAAAGCATTGGAGATATTTAGCATTCACTTTGTTGCAAAGTATAATGCACAGTGTGAAAAGGTTAAATGTAATTGCCCATGTCAGAACAACTGAAACCCTTACTACAACTCACCGCTGCACTGAGAAGAAAAAAGAAAAAAAAAAAAAAAAAAGAAAAAAAAGACCCATGGGCTTGAGCCCAACATGGATGCCACAGGTTTTTAAAAAAAAAAAAAAAAGAGAAAAAGAAGAGCCATGGGCTTGAGCACCAACATGGATGCCACAGGAGAGGAAGAAAAGGGAGCTTTAGCGACATCATGTTCTAAATATGCCCTTACATTGTACCCCCAGGGCTAGGGGATAGATGATGCCTTATGTACTCCAAGAATAAGGTCCCTCACAAAAAAAACTGTGTCTCAATCTGTAAGAGAAAGAAAATGAGAGGGGCACCCTGCACCGAGGTAGGGACATTTCATTGTATGGTGCCAGCTGCTCGGCTCGTACCAAAGCAGCTCCACAGCCCACAGGAGTCCCGCTTAGCTCCTTCCCCAGACACCTGCAGCACTGCAGCCTAACTGGACCAGCTCTGGAGAGGGCTTGGACAGCCACCCAACAGTTTCTCTCATGGAATACAATAAATACATCTTTTAAAGAGTGAAAGCCACCACTGACCTGGCCCTTGGTATGGTAGTCTGTTAGAGGAAGTGCAGGCGGACTGGAAGTCCCTTCCTTACCGACTGGCCTGGACCTTGGACACCTGGACCAAGCATGGGCAGCAGGACTTCTGCCTGCAGCCCCACCTCAGAGTCAATGCAATAGTTTTGGTTCAGTAACACCAGGAGTGCAAGAACTAATGGTGACTTTTCAGTTTACATTACTGGGGACAAATAATGACATTATGAGAAGGCAGTGGGGTAGTCTTTGAAGACTTCAACGGCATTTATGGCTATCTGAAAAAAAAATGCAAGAAATCCAGTGATTAAATTGATAACAGGATAAGAGAAGCTTTCCTGTATGCTACACATTTCCCCAAAAGAAAATATGCTGTTGGCCAAAACCTGTGGCCATTCTCAAGTGAAAATCCTCTGACTTCAGTGGAAATTATTCTTTAGGAAGGGCTTTTAAATCTTGGCTCTTACTTTGTATCTATTTAAATATTATCTGGTGTTGCACCTGGAGAATAAACAACATATACCATCCTGTAAGTCAAGCTATGGAATTTTTCCAAATAACTTATTAGCACAATGTCTCAATAAATCTCTTTGAAGGGAAGAACCTGTCATGGAATAACAAGTACAGCATAAGAAAAAGAAACAAGGCTGTAAAACGCAATAACAAAACGCCTTTAAACCACTGTACTTTAATGACTTAAGGGATACTGGGAAAAGACTGAGATCAGTCCGAGGAGACAGCTTCCTTTCAATTCTGCGAATAACATTTCCTGCAATAATCTGAAAGCACGAACAAGAGCAACCGTACCACAGCATGGAAAGGCGGTAGATTTAGAAACATAGAGGAGGGAAGGCGAAAAAGGCACTAATCAGTGTTGCTCATTAGGAAAGAACTATGCTCATTACTTGCCTGGGCGGGTTTTCTCTGCTTTCTTTTTCCATCAGCCCATTTGTCAAAAATGAACAAATACAATCCATCTCTCAAAATCCTGCTCCCACCGAACCTGTAAGGCTCCTCAGCAGGAGCAGGTATTGTGAGAGGAGACAGCTCAAACAGGGAATGTGTCATCACAATTTCCCTTTAAGGTATTTTCATATTGGTGTTTTCTTTGAGACACTTGGCGTTCACTAACTATTTATCTACTTTCTCAATGCCCTATTGATTCATTTACACTAAAACAAAAAACAGAATCAATGGATTTTTTTGTTTTGTTTTAGTCCATGCTTTGGTGACATACACGTGTTGGGCAACAATGATTGATCACTGACTCCCATGAAGAGATTGACATCATTCGAGTGTCCCTACATGGAGCTCACCATGCTGTAAGACAACCGGAGCTTTCAATTACACGCCAAAGTATATGAGAGGCTCTCTATTTAGGGCTGCTGTTTTTAAATGTCAGAGGCTGTGCCAAAACCCAGAAAAGATGTAGTTTAGTAAGCAGACTGCTTTTTTCAGACCTTCCTTTCTGATTTACCCACACCGAGACATTTCTGTCATGGGGTTCACTGACAATTCACTGCAGCGTTTCAGCTCTGCTTCATGATGACCACTTTTTTCTGAGCTCTGTTGTTATACTGATTCTTTCCTTATAGCTCCACTTGCTGTATGCCTCACAAGTGGAAGATCAGACAAACAGGGTTTGCTTATCATTTTAAGCTAAAAATGACTGATGTATAGAAAAACGTGCATCTTGACTTTGTCCTTCAGACGAGGTCCCTCCGGAAAATGATGTCAGGATGGATCAATAGTAAAATCTCTGCAACAAGTCCTGTCCCTTTGCAAGAAAGGAGCAGTCTATTCCTGTACTCAGACATGCTGCTTGCATAACCTTGGGTCAAGAAAGAGAGAAAGAAACAGGCTTTTAAAATTATAAGACACAGCTGGAATATTTAGAGATGGAGAGATGATAAGACCTGGATTTAGAGACGCATCTAAATACTGGTGTGGCTATCTGAGGCTCTTATTGGTCCTTGATGTTTCATCCAGATCATGTCTGTAAAACGGAATTATCCTCTGCAATAAAAATCCTGGAAACACTCAGATCCAGTTCAAACTAAATCTTTTATTTTTTCCTATTATTTATAAAGTGTAATCATCCTCAAGTCCAACAGTCATCCTGAAACAGGGTGTTGCTCAGTGACAGATTCTCCAAGCTCTTACCAGGTATTTTGTGCTGCCTTTGAAATGTTGAGATTCTGAAGCGTTTGATACCTTGTCTTGGTATCAAATGTTATAATTCACACACATTTTTTCATTTGCCCATAAGTCCTAGAGAGTCCTCATCTGGCCTATGGGTACTAATAACCAGCAAAAAGCCATTAATATCAAAAGCACTTTATTAACAAGCAACAGAGATAGATGGTGTGAGGTGAAACACCGATGGCTGATTGTACTCCTAGTGAAACACCACTAGGAGTACAGTGGTGACAAGTGACTACATGAAGGGCCTGGTGCTGTGCGAAAGCAAAGCTGTGGCAAAGGTGGGACCAGAGCCCAGCTCTTCTTGCTACCGTTCCTGTATTAACTTTGGTCCATTCAAATGTTTTCTGAAGGGTCACTTCCTTCTTTTTGTTGTTTGTGGCATAAAAAGCCCTCAGTCCCCTAAGTTCCGTAGCTGCTTCTGTACAGCTGAAGAGTCCTTCTTTTAGTCTGTCTTGCACACCCATGCTGAGCTGGAGTCGCGGATCCTGTTTGCAGTGTTTCTACAGAAAACAGCAACAAAGAAGGCAGATACAGGGATACAGACGGAGGGCAAAAAGATGGCTCCCAAATATAAAGAAACACTTGTTGACAGATCCTATTCTCAGCAGGTTTTCATGGAAGAGCTCAGATGGAGAGTGAAACCACCATGCAAGGCACAGACAAAAGGCTCTGTGTTTTCATGTGCTTCCTTTCCTTTTTTTGGTGTTTGGGGTTTTTTTTGCTAGCTCAGCCCTTTAAAAGAGACTTAAAGCAGGGGAAGGCTAAACCGAGGGTAACACGTTGTATCAAAGGCAAAATTTAATACAAAACGACAGTGAACTGGTATAAAAAGTGGCCATTTTTAAAAAAGGAAATGATCTGTCAAGCGTGACTTTGAAGAAGCATGGTTTTCCTTCTCCACTTTATTTCACTTTATGCCATAGAGTTTGCATGGTCTAACAAAGAAAAATGTTGGTATGAAGCATGCCAAACTTGAACCAAAAACCCTGGGGCTCAGACACAAGCTGAATCACCACAGCTTGGTATGCTGCCATTTACTGGCTGAAACTGTGACAAAGACAGAGTAGTCTGGCCCTCTTCCTCAGAGAAGGCTTCACCCTGGACTTGCTGCAGGTGACAAAGGTGAATATCGGCATTTCCCCTGGCTCAGCTGGTGCATGGGACCCTACTCACGAGTCTCGCACACTCCTGTGTTTCCCCTGATCCCCATATCGACACTTTTTCTAATGCCTCCGGACAGCAATGGTCTTCCATAAGGAGAAGCCGTTTCGGGTGATGTGACCAGGCAGCCTCAGACCAAAAGCAAGACAAGTACTGTAAGCGTTGCATATCCAGGGAACACAAGGAGGAACGTCTTTGCATCTGTCTTCACTAGACTGAGTGTCATCTCCGCTTACTCTGTTTCTATCTACATTAATGTAAGTAACTCTAACAATAGTGGAAAAAGCTGCTCTTAACTGAAAGGATTATTTTACATGAACATTTCACTGCATGTTAGACAAACCCACTGTACAACATGCAACCATGTCTAAATGAACATATTGTTTATTTTGTAGCTTTTAAATCAGTTTTATTTACAACAGGTCTTAGAGTATAGCTCACGCAGTAGTTAAGCTCTGGCAGTACTGATGTCAGGTCACTAACACATTTGCAAATTACATTTCTAAGTCATAGAAAATGAAAGAAAAATGACTTTAAAATAACTGTTTTATCTTCGGGTATAAGGATCACAGAAGACATTTGCAGGCGGCTGTAAAACCCAGCCGAGGGCACTCCCCAGGGAGCCCCGGCGCCACCGGCACGCCGAGCGCTGCGGTGCGGGGACACAAGCAGTGGCGAATGGTCGGACGCACGCGCGGCCGCGCACTTCGGTTACTTTCTGTGACAGGGCCCGAGGCAGCTCTGCGCTCCTTAATGGCCCCACTCCTCTTCCCTTTCACTGACTCCCTCTTCTTCCTCTGGAAACGCTGAATCAGTCTGAGTCTTCAGATGCTTAATCCCTGAAAATATAGAAGTCATGGTTAAAGTTATGTTAGCTCGTGTCAGACATTTTTTTCCTGAAAGAAGAAACGAACAAAACAAACGAACAAACTAACGGCCAGTTTTTTAATGCCCATACTGACTGCCTTTTTCACGAACCTCATAGTTCAAACAATACTACAGTGAATTTCCAAGAGAAATACTTTCTTCCTTGAATATAGGATCTTTCGACATTTATCATGTTTTACTGAAAAAACTGCTGAAATATGCCTTGTAGAACAGAACAGTATTCTCTTCTCTTTTTTCCTTGGTAATCCTTGATGAGATTAGTATTTTCCATGCCAAGCAGGTTAAAAGTTTTCAAGGCTCAGACAGTAGACATGGGAATTATTCTACCAGAATTTCAACTTGAGCCTCCTTCTGAGACTGATCATCTGAAGGTCATCACTCACGCGGACCCCGTGCCTCATGGTCACAGCTTCCCACATGCACCAGAGGTCTTCTCCAGTGTGTGTCCCCATAGACTGCACACAACCTGCAGAGCTGTCCTGATGCAAAGAGTGCATCACACAACACCATGACAAGATTGGACCATTTCTCACATGGAGAATGTATTCTGTTGACCTCCAGATACCACATGGGGCTGGATGAAAAGGATAAATACCTATCATGGGATATTTGGAAGTTTAGGTTTGAGGAAAGTTGTGAAGTCCCTGCTGCTGGCCAGTTTCAGCCAGCAAGTGAAGTACATTCTATGAAAATTACTCAAATTGCAAAGTTACTTTCCCTGTCCCTTGTTCAGTGCAAGCAAGCAGGCCTCAATGAATGGGCCTAATCCCATCTCCTCAGCTCCTCCTTGATGTGACAGAAGAATTCAAGTTAACACAGGAGGCAAAATCAAGCTAAAAAGATGACAGAGAGGAGAGAACAGAGATGAAGGGTTGTTATTTTCTAAAAATCAAAACAGCAAATGCAGAAGGTTAGTTTCTGGTTCTCCTAGTTTTTTGGGAAAATATTGTAGTGGGAACATAACTGTTAGCAAAAAATCCATTATTTCAACAAAACATAAGACTGAATTAGGTTTTCTGGTATCATTATGGCCATAACATGGAAACAGTTTTGGTTTCATTACAGATCATACATATTTCTACTTAGAATTTCTAATTGTCAGAAAAAAAAATAATCTTCCCTTATGCATCAGTTTCGCTGTTTGTTGAGGAGAAATTGCACCCCAGCCGCTTTAGATAACCACAGCTGGATAATCACACACCCCACTGTCAGAGCACTTGTAGAGGCACAATTTTCAAAAAGGAATGCACCCTTAAGGCATACAGGGCAAGATCCAGATTACCTCAAACTACGAGTAAGAGGAATTGATGGTGTATGTCCAAGAGTCATGGCCCCAGCGTCACTTAACTTGGAGGTTCCTACACTTCACTATTTATTTCCACACCAGTCCAAAATATGAGATAGTTTCTTCCAAATGCATCACTTGAAAAAAATTTCAACGTAAGTTATTCCAGTTCAACAAAGTTACAAATAGCTGAAAACAGGATCTTACAACAGGTTGTACAACAGGAGTGCAGCCAGCTCCCCTTCCAACAGGAGCCCATCATTGCTCTGTGCTGGGCTCTGGACTCCTCTCTCTTTTTTTCCACACAAACAACAGTACTTGGTTCCCTGGGAAACTGTTGTTCAGACATAAAACAAGCAAATGAATTAATGCTTCCAAGCCACAGTTCTTGTAAGTGCGCCCTGCAATAACCAAACCATTTCCAATTAAGTAACCGTGATACATGAAGAAACACTTAGGGTGCTCAGCTACCACCAAGGTGGCCTCTTTAGCAACGCCCTTTAGTAAGACAAATACTTTAAATATGATTTCACCTAACTTAATGGACGTTCATCTCAAAATGATATTGTATTTGTAGGACAAATTTGTCTCCTGTTTATCTCTGGACTTACAGAGGCATTTCTTGCACATTCACAGTGCCTTTCTAATAGCTACTATTCAGTACTTCAAACAGGAATTGCTAGGAGCCAGAATGCGTAGTTTTTTAGGGAGTTTCTCAAAGACAAAAAGGAGATGGACAGAAAAGAAGGCATGTGATATCATGGAATGGTATTTTTGGTAGGACTAAGACTTGGCTATGTGGTTAAATTGCAGTATTCAATGTGAAAACTGCAAAAAATGGAGACAAATGACATCAGTGAGTGTTACCCATTGATTTTCAAGTAGCAGGCAACTATCGGTCTTATTTAATGATTTTTAATATCCTCCATTCTACAGCCTGCCTTCACCTCTGCCAGTCATTTAATACCACAGTGTCATTTGGAAGTAAAGACTCACAGGGTTTCCTGCACTGACCAATAAGTATACAAGACTCGATGTCATTATACACAAGCCTCAAGATGTTCTGACAGCATCAAGTTGTCAGAATTAACTAACCCTATGTGTGGCATTATGAAATAAGATGCTTAGCTACACAAAGAAGTGAGTTAGCATGAATCCTGGGCTGCATCGAAATAAGTGTGGCCAGCAGGTCGAGGGAGGTGGTTCTGCCCCTCTACTCTGCCCTCCTGAGACCCCACCTGGAGTTACTGTGTCCAGCTCTGGGGCCTCAACATAAGAAGGACATGGACCTGTTGAAGCAGGACCAGAGGAGGGCCATGAAGATGATCAGAGGGCTGGAGCACCTCTCCTATGAAGACAGGCTGAGAGATTTGGTGTTGTTCGGCCTGGAGAAGAGAAGACTCTGGGGACACCTTATAGTGGCCTCCCAGTACCTAAAGGGGCCCTACAGGAAAGATGGAGAGGGATTCTTTACCAGGGAGTGTAGCAATAGGACGAGGGGTAACAGTTTTAAACTTAAAGTTTTAGACTAGATATTAGGAAGAAATTCTTTACTGTGAGGGTGGTGAGACACTGGAACAGGTTGCCCAGAGAAGTTGTGGAAGTTCCATTCCTGGAAGTGTTCAAGGCCAGGTTGGACAGGGCTTTGATCAACCTGGTCTAGTGGAAGGTGTCCCTGCCCATGGCAGGCAGGTTGGAACTAGATGATCTTTAAGATCCCTTCCAACCCAAACAATTCTATGATTCGATGATTCTATAAATCAACGTAAAGGTAATGAAATTCCTGTCAGTAACATACGAACATGCGTGACAGAAAAGGCTGTCGGCTTTCCTGAAAAGAGATACATATTTCATGCACAAAGTGTCAGCCTTTTACAGTGCAAAAAATCCGTGGTAATAAAAATACTTAGTTAAATGATAGTAATCATATTCCTAGACTGGAAGCGTAACTAGCCACCTAACCTTGCAGTGGCTGCCAAGGGTAGTCAGAAGGCATCGGAGCTGGGCATGCCCCAGAGCACACCGACACATTCATCCACAACTCTCGCTCAGCTAAAACAATTAAAGAGAAGAGGTTGTCACAGTGGCCCTCAAGTGGGGTTATTCAAGCTGTGTGTCCTGCCCTTTGCCAATACAAAGCAAGTGACAAGCAGGTAGCGAGGTGGAGCTCTATCGACAGAGATACTTTTTTTTGTGCCTGTTGGATCTATTCATACCCAGTGTCTTTGTTTAGCAACATCTAAACTGTTTGCTGAGAGGTTACATTCTGGCTAAAGTCTGAGTGAAAACTTACTACTCAGGTCACTCCAACCATTTTTACAGCTGCTACTATGGTAACATTCATTTATTAGAAAGGATATTTCCTTCTCATCTTTTCAATCTTCACACACCAGTAACACAGTTCATGCCCTTAGCTTTCTCAAATAGTAATACTGGGGCACCAGAACGCTGTTGTTTGGGGTTTGTTTCTATTCATTGGTGAAGCATGGTAGTAAAGATGAGCAATAAATATAGACTCTAAGATTTTACTCATAGAAAAAAAACAAAACCAAACAACAAACAAATCCAGGATATTTGGGGGGATATATGGGGGATATTTTAGAAGATGTTGTTCATAGATACAGCAGATCCAAGAAAAATGACATCATGTTACCAGTTTCACATAAACTACTCAAGCTTCATAATATAGGTCCCAAATAGGGAGGACTGTGCTGATCCACAGAGCCACACTGTCTCATCAGTGCCCCTTATGTGAGGCAGTGGGTAACTCTGAATTTGGGGGCACCCTCACCCTCCTGCAGCAATGTGCCAGCACTGTCCTGATGCTGTTTTGTTCCTGTCCCTGCTCTGGCCCCCAGCCCGGGTCTTCCTGCCCTGATCTCCCCTTGTACGCAGCGGTGGCTTGCAGGCTCCGAGCCGTCCTGCTGACACCACCAGTCTCCGGTCCCCTCTGCGCCCGACCCGACTGCCACACCACAGCCTCACGCTCTGCCTGGGGCTTTCCTCTTCGTCTGGGAGGTCTGACAGAAAAAAAACCCTTCCAGCCCAAAGGCCGCCCCTTCTCATCGCTCGCTGACAATGATTTCATACCCACAGTGTGTTCAAACTCACTCTTATTCTGCCTTAAACTGAGCACTGCCTCTTGTTGCCTTTTTCCCTTTCCCCCCGCCTGCACTCCCTTTTATGCTTTTAAAGCCAGCAGGACAAGAATTGTTTTTCCTCAAAGGGCTCATATTTCACTGCAGGTAATTCAATCCAATTAATGCTGATGAAGAAATCCTTAATGCCAAGCCATATGCAGCAGCCGTACTCTAATACACTCTGAACTGGTAATTCTTTTTAGACGAAGTCACTGCCTCAAAGCGTATTTCTAGATTACTTATAAATTATGAGTGCAAATGGGGCAACTTTCTGGCATTTTGCAGTCACATAATAACATCTATGCTGTTTAATCAACAGCTGTCTTTTTGCTTCTCTCCATCTGACCAAAGCACCAGATTAGAAGGCTAAGCAGTGTCACAAGATATGAAATAACCAAGTGTTCCTGAATTAAATATCTCCTGGAAAAAAAATAAAAAATTGATTCAAGTAATTAAGGCAGCTCCCCATCTTAAGCAATTAAGGCAGCTCCCCATCCTATTTAACACTTCTTCCTTCACCCTGCTT